GTTCTTGCATTTGAGCAAGGTGGACGGGGAAGAGAGAGTGCGGTGAATGCTGCGATAAATTAATTCGCACTTTATTGACTGCTACGCCAATTCTGTGCGGCATCTAGCGGTCAAACAACCAGCAAATCGTTGGAGCAGTTGAGTAGCAGTTCTGAGAGCAAACGAAATGTTATTTTTGCGGCTGGTTTCCATGGGTTTCCATGGTATTTCAAGCCATTAGCATTCCGTCGTCGACTGGATATACACCGACCACTGAAAAAAATTAATTACCGTACATGCAGGATTAACGTTGCGGAAAAGTGGACGTCACACCGAGCTCTTTATTCGCGGCTTTGACCCAAAGCAAAAGCAAGCATACCGCTTCCGGGAAGACGCTCATCTCCTAGTCATATCAAAGGACATGGCTCGGTCTTTGTTAGTAGACGTGGCGGCAAACGTATGAAACGTTCAGTAATACTATGGTGGTGGTGAAGAATTGATTACTTTGTGAAGGGTTCGGGAGAAAATTGTTAGAAACTTGTTATAAAGATGCAGAGTATGCACAAGGTTTCACAGCAAAAAGACTGCGATCTTTGATGCTGCCAAGGATACCAAAATGATTGTATTGCGTGCTTGGGTAAAAAGCAAATGAGCGGCGGATGCTAATTAGAGCAGTTGGCTCATTAACGACGGCTAAGATCCCGTAAACGTCTTGGAGGAAAACAAGTTTAACAAGTGTCGACCGGAAACTCGACTGAAACTCGAAGGTTACCGCGACTGTTTGCCATACTGGCGGCACGGATACTAGCCAAAAGCCCAGACGCGGGTTTTGCGGATATCCTTCCGCTGCATGGGACAGTCGCGAGGGATTCGGCTCATCAGTGGGGTCCCCGAGAAATACCGATCAACGCCCATAGATTCTTGAATCTGCTGAGCTACCCAAATTCAGAAATTAATCTCTGAGGAAGACAAAAGCCACAAATATTAAAACTTAGCAATCTCACTTTACTGTTCAGCTGGTATCGGTTACAGGCGGAATGGGATAACACTGAGTTCGGTACCAGACCTTGCCATAAACCTCTGAAGCATGCCTTGTCGGCGAATCGCAGGATAAAACTTTTAGCAAACGTGTATTGCGGAGTTGTTGCAGTTACTTGCCAGACTGCATAATTGCTTGAAAGCATTCACACGGATCGTAGAGCGACCAGATTTAACGGAAGTTGTTATGACGAAAACAAATTGTGACAGTAGCCTTGCAGAGATGATTTCCGGCATGGTGAAGGATTTTGAAACTAAGCACGAACTATGCGTTTTTCTCCATCGAGGTTTTGCATTCGCAGTAGACAATATGTTCAATCTTTACCGGCAACGGCATCTTCGGCGTTTACAATGTGCTTTTTCGGTTTTTCCAAGCTCTAGATAGAGCTCAATTCCTCTGTCTGTTTGATGCTGCATAAATCATTAAAACTCGAGAAGGATTTATGAGCAGCGAGGGGAACATGCAGAGTCTCAAGGGAACAAGCAACGCACGATGTCGATATCATGGTGGCGTGCCGGCCGTTTTCCTGAGATCTACATCGTGCATTTAGCTGAGATTGGCGATGTAATAGTTCGATCATCGATTTCGACGAAGTCCATCATGTGCTCGGGAGCAGGGGCGGTGACTGGAGACAAACACGAGGTTTAAGTGAAATAGACGCGCAGCTGTCTACCTCACCCTAAACACTCTGCCCACTTGAACCGGTGACAAAACACAAGTCAAGATGACCGAGCAGGAATCGGACGTAGGCCCCTTTCACCAATGCAGGCCAGAACACCGCCTTCTTAGTCTTAAGTGGCAGTAGTCTTTTGCGCTGGTACTACCGCACTATTTACCCTTACTCACCTTCAGTAGGTGTCAAGCCAGACTCAAGGAAACCAAGGTTACTACTGCTATTTCTAATACTACTCACTAGGGGTGTAGCTGATTGATCGTATTCCTGGTACTATTTCTGGATGAATTATTGGTCATAAGTGACGCTGATTAATGTCAGCGCTGGGCGCATATCCCCGCAATCTCAACTAAAAGTGTAGTGATACTGTTACTAACACTGACGCTACATTTTGTCAGAGGTGACACTGTTAAAGCCAACGCTGCGGCCCATGCCCGTTGATTTCAATAAGGAGTGTGAATCTTGGTTTAAACTATTTCGAGTAAGTACAGGTTTGGGGGCTTGAGCACACCAGAGATTGCCTTGGTTTCCACCATCAGGCTGTGTCCGCCTCTACTAGGTTCGGACTATGATACTGCTGCTAGAAGTACGTGCCTATGCTAAGCTGCTAATTCTAGTAATTATGCTTACTAAGGCCAGTGAATAGTACATTACAATACGGTCTCTGTGTGCTTTTAAGGAGGTCGGCTTGATGTTGGCTGTCCTTCTGGGGGGGGAGGAAGTGTGGGATTCGCAGGGTTCCCGGGGAGACACAGTTCGCTGGATCGATGGGCAGCTGCAGAAAATGCCTAGTCAGGCAAAGGAATCAGTTCACTCTAATTTAATTTACTAAAACAAATCTCCTTTGCGGCTCCGCGATACTTTGGCACGTGCCCGGACACCACAGA